ACTAAAATGATTTTTTCACATTCTTCAAATGCATTGAAGAATCGACACAACTCGTCTTCTCGATATCATTTCTACAACGGTTTAGATTTCGCAAGAGATCGCTCGCTCTCTCCTTCGTCTTTTCCTCGCATCCGACTTGTAAAAGCACTAAAAGTTTCTCAAACGCACCAACTTGAAGAGCTTCAACTAACAAACGGTCTTCGTCTTCTCCATTCTTCTTCCATAACTTCCAAAGAGTCGATACCGAACATTGCGTTGCAAGATCCGAAACCCGAAGAATCTTCTTCACTAGAAGAGGAACGATCAAAGCATTTCTAAGAACATCTTCTCTACCTTGCTCGTTGTCGCATACAACGTTTAGAACAATGAGACATCTCTCGCATACGCTCTTTTCCGCGTTGTTCACAATCATCTCTGTGATCAATCCTACCAAACCCAACTTCACGAATTTCGCAGCGATCTTGTCATCGCAAGAAATCGCTCTATAAATCGTCATTAGAGATGATTTCGTCGAACTCGTCGAAACAGAGTCTTTAATGATCATAACTAATCCTTCACAAGCTCCTTCGATATCTGTTAACGCATACACATACCTCTTGTCTATTGCAATAACCTCTCTGATGCAAAACGCAGCGTTCTGCCTCGTTTTAGCGTCTGTAGCGTTCAAGAACCGCACTAGACGGTTAAGCGAAGCCGTTGATCCCATCTTCGAGAAACCTTCTGTTCGACTCAGAGGTAACCAAGAAGACAGAACAAACAAAACTTCCTCCAACAGACGCGCGTGTTCCTCACGCGCCACCGCGAACTTTTCGAAACAAGAAGCCAAAGCGGAAACGACGCCGTTTTGGACCAAACATTTCTTGTTCGTATCTCCTCCTTCCCTTCCCAAGTTCTTGATTTTAATCACGATCTCGAAACACACGGCATTGTCTTCACGCGCCACCGCGTTTTCTAATCTCCGACATATTTCCGCCGCGTCACGTGTGGTCAACGGCACGCACGGTGACTGAATCCGCTCGATTCTTGGTGATCGGAGTTGAACCGGAATCTTGGTTGCCACGACGGAGATATCGCCGGAAGTAAGTTGATTACGTCTCTTTCTTGCACCTCCTCTTGATCCCCATGGTAACACCATTTTTTGTTTGCTTACTTTGTTTGGTTTCCTTAAAGAAATTGAAATACTTTTTCGATTATTAGATAGAAACTGAAATGGGTTTTTGTGATTGTATAAATATAAGTTTGTTTACGTGTTTATATATGCATGTAAGTTGATTTGTATTTATATTATAAAGGAGAAATGGTCAAAGGTTGTAAAAGCTTGAAAAGAGAAAAGGTATGAAATGGAACACTTTGATTTATGTTTGTGAACTCAATTGGAATGTTGACCGTTGAAAGCTTCGGACTATTATTATTCTTGAGTCCTAGTTTATGACTACATTTTTTCGGTCTTTAATTAATTTTATTTACATTTACATATATGTGAAATCTAGAAAGCTTAGCAATGAGATCACACCAAGAACTATATAAGTACTATTATATAAACTTATAGATCACGCGTATACTATATGCTTTAATATATCAATTGTAAATTAAATAGTACGTAGGTATAAAATTTAACTCGAGGTATTTGGAATATTACTTATTACAATAATTTTATCAATAATTTAGTTGTTCGTTCCCGATCATGTTCCTATTACTATACGGAACTAATTATTTTCCAAGTTACATCTTGAATATTATACGATCGATATATGACCATGAGGTCCATGACGTATACATATTTTTGTTGATAAAATACGAATTACAAAAGCTTTAAATATTTGAAGTAGGCTCAGGCTAAAGTTGGTGTCGACTCGAGTACGTATATATAGAAGACTCATTTTGTGAATAAGAAATAGTCATATGTTGAAATAAAATCATCAAATTGTAAAAGTAATCAAGAGTTTAAGACCGTTGTATAATAATTTAAGAAGAAGAAAAAAAGATAAACCGAGTACGGAAGACTTTGGACCAAGCGTGTGCGACTCGGCTTGGGCCGCATTTCTATCTTCGGGTCCGTGTTTGTTTACTTTTCCCAGCGTCATGGTTTGGTTTGGTTTGGTTTATACAAATAAAACATACAATATATACGCGTAGACTAAAAAACATGTATAAAAGTTAGGAGTATCTGTATAAAGTGGTAGATTCGATTTGATCCAAAAGGAATATTTTATGATGAAAAGTATTTTAATAGTATTACAAACCATGAATATTACTAGTAGGTTATTGAAGTCTCTGGTCGGTGTAGAAGCTTTCAAGTGTCTTTAGATTTGCAGTTGCACTTCCAAGTACACCAAACATGAATGGGACTACTATTGTTGACAATTCCAAAATCCAAAAACAGAATATTAATCACAATCAAAGCTACCGAAAAAAGCTTCAAGGACTGCAAATTGATAATAGAAACTGAAAGAGGCTTTTTAAGTATTTCTAGCTCCCGTTACACAACAAACTGGCCAAAAATTTTCTGAATTAGCCAAGGCTTTTTCATATAACACAAGTTTGTCTTTGCAAACCAGACCTCTGAAACATAAGCAAATTTGACCTCCATGTCCCTAGAGCCAGAGCAAAACTGGATGATTTTGCTGATAGGTCAACGATAATACTCTAGATTCCTGTAATTTGAACATAAACCCAAATGACATAAATTCCAAAATTTTCAGCATTCACATGAAAAATGACATAATCTTCAATTAAAGCAGAATCAGCCAATCGATTGCAGGTTTTCAAGATGTATCACTAATCTGGGGATAAAATATTTCATCCAAAACCCCAACTACGAATCGATCAAAACGAAGAACACATGAAATCGATCTGGAAAAACAAAATCTAGAGTTTCAGAAGTTTTGAGTATTTTTCCCCACAGATTCGCCAGAAATTGCAGTTCTGATTCAGCAAACGCCACAAAAGAAAAACCTAAAAAAAAATTTGGACCATTTCTCGATTTGTGCGTGTCATCCTTGCGCAGGGGCCATGCTAATCTTCTCTGTATCGTTCCAATTTTATCGGATGTCCCCGAAGGGACAATCACCTCTTCTACTCCGTCGGTTTATAAACCTTCGTTTTGCGTCTGTTCTTACCGATGTGGGACAAAAAGAAGGTAGAAGAAAGAGTTTTATTGACTTGGGCTTGTGGGCCTTTTATCGACAAGGCCCATTCTTGTGTTTATTGGGTTTCCCGTATGGAAATTTAAATATCTCTTTACGTTACTCGTTCAATTGTTTTCTTTCACAAACTTATTATTTTCTTTCACAAACCCTTTTTGTCAAGAATAATCAATTTCTTAGTAAGAGCCTATTCAAAGGGTGAAGAAGATACGAAACAATAATGAAAATGAAAATCTGGACAAGAAAACTCCATTTTATTTCTGTGAAATTGAAGTTTTTGGGATGAAAGTTTTACATTTCAAATGCATCTGTGAACTGTTGTTGACTATTAGCCACTAGGTAAGAGAAAATTGTATTACTCATGAAGACGACAATTACACATTAAGGAAATTAACTTGTAACTTCATATTCATACAACAAAAACGACCAAATCAAGATCACATGTCTCAACTCTATACATTTTGTACACATGAAATTGATTAATTTAAATTTCCAATCTTCACCAACATCTTCTTCCAAAAATTACTCTCTTCTTTAACTGCTCTGTATCAATGGTTGAGTCCTTTACACACAAGTTGTTGCTTCACTTGTAGCAGACAAATGAAAATCTTCGGATTTGATTTTACCCTTTTAGATGTTTCTACAAGATCATCTGCTAAAATACTCATCTCAGAAAGTGATAAAACAGAGAAACGCATTAACAATATCACACAAAAACGGCATTTATCAATTAAACAACAATATCACAATATGCATCTCCATAAATCTACTCCATGGAAGAGAAAATTTCCATGAAGATATTGTCACAGAGATGCAAAATCAATCTTGTCATCTTCCGACACAAAGTTGGTATAGATTTATAACCTATTTGCTTTATAGATGACTAAGCAATTGGAATCTCAGTCAGGTACAAGAAAACAAAACCAAATGTTCCAAGATAGACTACAAAAAGTAATTAGAGAATGATAAATACAATATTATATATATACAGAAAACAACATTAATCAAATGTGGAAGTGTATCCTCCATAGAGCTACTACATGGAGAAGAAGAGTTCCATGAAGATAATGTCAAGAAGGTAAATAAACTAATCTAGTCAACTTCCGACACAAAATTGGTACGAAATTAAACCTATTTTGCTATGTAGACGACCTTAAAGATACACTGTAAACAACAAAACAAACGAAAGCTCTAGCTCTACATGAAACCCTAAATACTGAGATTGAAGATAACAGTGACGACAACACAAGCTATATATACTCATGGCTGTTTAGGGCAACCATTATAGTGAACCAAAACGACGCCGGTTAATGGGATATTGGGCTTTGTCCGTCTAATTTTGAGCCCAATCGAAAAGGAACAAGTCAAAACAGGAAATGAAAAAAATCAACTTTGAACCGGCAATATGTGAATTATTCTTAACCAGATATAAACCGGAAATACAGTGATTACCTTATTTCCTCCAAATAAATTTTGAGGAAATTACATTTATCATCATTATTCACCTGATTCGCCAAAAGAATATTACAACAATGGCGATCAGATCAAAGATCATCAGTTTTGTATAATTCACCTCTATACATTATTAATAAATGCTTGACATCAATTGAAATTGAGAATTTACAGATTCCTCTTTGAAAAATCAAAGCTTTTTTTTTTAAAGCTCTTCACTGCTGCTGTGTATCAATGGTTGTGTCTTTACCGGAGCTTGTAGTTGCTGCTTGTCTTGTTTCAGTCACAGAGAGTCTTCTCGGATTCCCACTTGATGTTTCCACAACCTCATCCGTCTCTGAAGCCGTGTTGTCGTATGCGAATACTCGCATTGGGTGATCAAATTTACAGCTTGGACCAAATTTGCAGATTCCGTAGCGAGTATAGAACACACACAACGGTTCTCCCTGTCGAACAAACAATTAGGAAAACCGAAGAAAATCGAAGAAAATGGAGCAAGATGCGGATTTGAGCTTACCGGGCGTAATGGGAGGCCAAGGGAGCTTAAGAGACAATCAGGAGGAGGAGCTTGTCGGTCTCTAGGATGATGAAACTTGCAAACTGTGCCAAATTTGCAGTCACCTGTCTTCATGTAGAATTGGCATTCAGGTTGTCCAGGTCTTTCCGGGAAAACATTTTCCCTCGGCAATGCGTAATACCCTCCTACCGGAACAGAGGATCCCGAATTGAAACCCGAGAATGACCCTTGAGACTGAGAGCTTGGCTCATTGGCCTCACTCTGCTGTAAGTTTCTGTAGTTTTGATCATTTCCTGAAGGAGAAACTGAACCGAGCTGACCCTGAAAGGAATCGAAACCACGAGAAAGAAATCAAAACCAAGTCATACAATGATACAAATCAGATATTTCTGAAGGTAAGTGAGAACTTACGCTGTACGGGTTCCATCCTTGAACCGGTACAAATCCTTGAGGCATAATTAAGGAGGCGTAACTAGACGGATCTTGCCATCGAGGGCTGGCAATAAAAGAAGCTCTAGGCCAAGAATAAGACTGTTGACCTGAAGTAGGAACCATCATATTGGTTGGTTGAGGCTGAGGGTGGTTGAATTTACAAGTTCCACCAAATTTACAGTGTCCAGTTCTTAGGAAATAAGCACAATCAGCCTCATTCTGCATTTATGACAATACAGAGAATCATGTAAGAGACTAAGAAAGAGAAATGAAACAATGAGAGAAGTAACGAAATCAAACATACCGGACGTAGAGGATATCCTAACATATTGAGTGAGACTCTTCCAGCGATCCCAGCTTTGTTCCTAGGATGATGAAACTTACATGTTACTCCAAACTTGCAGGTTCCTGTCTTGAGATAGTACTGCACAAACATACAAACATACAATGCAAGTTAGTTTGTGTAAGAAGATGACTCAATCCCAAAGCTTGATAAAAACTCGATCACCTCGCATTCAGGCTGACCAATTCTTTCAGGGTATTCTCCTCTCATTCTTGCAGTGACTATAACCTATAGATTTTGAACAGTGAGACAGAAATCACATAAACGTATCTTACCAAACAGATCTCTAAACTCTGAAATCTCCGAAATCAGAAAGGAACAACAAGAAAAAACGTATCGTACCAGTTCCCGATCACGAGGATGATTGAACCGACAAGTAGAACCAAATCTACAAAGTCCAGTTCTTATGTAATAAGAACAATTAGGCTCTCCTGGTCGTTCTGGATAAGAACCAGTTTCCATTGTTTCATCAGAACTCAAATTCATTTGCCACATTGCATCTGATCAGAACCAACCACACAAACCCAAAGAAACAAAAAAAATCGAAGATTAAACCCAAATTAAAAATTTCCGATCAAAAGTGAGAAAAATAGAAAGGAAAATTTGATCGGACCTTGATTCATCAAAGGAGAAAGAGAGGACATAGGAACTCCGGCGTTAAAATCCATTGACGTGAAAAGGAATGTCTCCGACGATGATTATAATAAGCATAAGACATTATACTGTCATCACTAAAAGAGATTCGTCGGTGATCGAAACGCGAATCGGGAATCCTCCAAGAGAAAAAAATGGAGTGTAGAGAGGTAAATGACAATG